GAAGGGTCATCACTGTAGGAGCTGGGACCACCAAAGGGTGCACTAAAGGTGGTGAGCAGASCTCTGACGGGGTTCCTGGGGCTTGTTCTGGGTCTGTCATGAGGGAGTATCCAAGTTGTTCACAGTCCTGGAAGAGAAGACCCCTTCTCTCTAGCTCACTTGTGATTTCCCACCAGCAATTCCTTTTGGCAGCACCTAAGGGAAGCCAGCTGTGAAGAGAAGCTGTGAAATGGAGTCTGCAATGCCACAGAGCAGAATTTAGGATGGTAGGCTTGAGGCTGAAAGAACTTGGTAAATAACTCATGGTACCTTATTTGTCCATCGGTCACTTAGGCAGAAGACTTTCTGATCTGCTCTTTGTGTCTTCTTGAACAAGGAGAAATAAAAATGGAGGTATATATCTGGTCAGAGACTCACAATCTCAGCCAAGTAGCCTRCATAGTATTCTGAATTAAGTGAACATTTTGGCTCAAAACCACCTGTCAATACTCTAAGAAGGTAGACTCTTGTGCAAGGGGAACATGCCAGCAAGGGTCTTAGAGTGTACCAGTCAGGTTGAACAGGGGACATTAGTAAAGTTTATTTCTTCCTAGCATGAAAGCTCCTATTTGCTCCTTGAGAGATAGCCAGCATCTGGACACAAGCCCTGGAGAAGGCATCAATGGGAAACATGATTTTGCTAGAGAAGTGTTGGCACTTAAAAAGAGGACCCAATTAAGCAAGATGTTTCCCATTTCCATTTMTTCTTCTACCTTGCCACTCCCTTTTCCTGAAGAGGAAAGGAGTGATGATGAAGACTATTCCCACTCCTAACTCCAAGTTCCACCCAGCTGAGTTGAAGAAAGGGAAGGAGTTATAGGATTGGCATTATGAACTCCATCGGAACTGCTATGAAGGAAGAAGAAAGAGGTTTTACATTGCAGATGGAATGCACTTGTTGGAGAAAAATTAAAGCCAGTTTATTCATATCTGTGTTCTATCAAGTTCAGAATGTTCCATAAATAAATTAATAAACAACAAAATGAGACTTTATTATGCATCATCTCCAGAATAAAGAACTGTCTTTCAGCCAGAAAAAAAGTACCATTCCTAATAACTTCTAATTAACAATTTTACTTTCCTCATTTCTGCATGGGTTGGTTTCACATGTAAGTATAACTTAGGAGTTTTAAATGACTCTCGTTATTCTCTGAAATTCCTATGAGCCAGGGATCACTCGTACCTGTAACCTGTTGAAGGTTAAATTCACATTATTACTATAGTAGCCAGAGGTCTTTCCTTCATTTTAGACTTTTAATGAGGTGCAATGATATAAAGAGTATAACTGTCAATGAGTGTAACAGAATGCTATGAAGGGTTGATAGGAGTTTGAATGAGAGCATCTTTTAAGTGCTAAAATATAAAGCCACAGGAAAATCTRTTGAAAATATGTGAGACATGGAACTTAGAGTCATCACTCTTACTCATCACTTTAGAAATCCTTAGAAACACTTTGTTTTAGTGAAGCATATGGTGTTCTATTTATTGGAAAGTAAATTTAATGCTGGAAGAATAATCTCAAATTTAGAGACTCTAACCTCTTATTTATATTTATCTTGAATTTCAGGCATTTTAAAACTTCAGTAGCTTTTTACATCACTTCCTTTTTGTTCTTACATTATTAGAGAGCATGGTTTTAAAAACAGACCAACTTAACTTCTATTTCTAACATCAAAACAAGTAAAAAAAAAAGTAGAAACGTATTTACTTACACCTTGAAAAGTTTTTCATAAGACCCAATCACTTATAGGCTGCTGATGCATTAAAGATTTATAACTAGAATTTTTTGGCCTTAACCAATGGACTGCCCAACTTTGGTCATGTTTCATTGCTCCTCCAAGACTTGATTTCCTTGCTTGTCATGATAATTATACCAGCTTCCTTTGGTTGGTTGCTCTTATGAGATCGTTAAAATCATGCATGTAAAGTGCTAAACTGAAAAAAAAGAAAATCCTCAATTTATGTTAGCCAATTTATGAAAGGCAGTAGTCATAGACAATCAGGAATAATACAGCATGCATATTCCACATTCTCATATTTCTCAGAATCCATGAGCAGAATCAAAATTTCCACCCAGGATTGATGACATAAACTATATCTGCCTCAAAGCAAATTGAGATATTACCTGTTGACCTTTTTTTTTTAAAAGTACTAAAACCATTTTAGAACTCTGACTAGATTTTACTCATTTATTCTTCAAACAATTTTTATGGAGACCCTTGTTATTGTCAGTTACTGTGCTAAGGCACTGAGGGGGAATATTTTTAAATTGTCCTCTGACTTTGTAAAGTTTTCAGAGCAAGTCTATATCAATCAGGACCCTAGTAGGGAATGGATTGTACTCCCAAAGACAGGGAAAAGTTAGTGGAGGTAGTACTGAGAAAACCTATGGGCAGGGTTGAGGATAACCAAACGCACGATGAACCAGCTGGAAGGTAGCAATAGTAGAAGCTGCTGCCAGTTACAGGCCTACAGAGGGATTCCTACAGTAGCTGGGTCCTACAGTAGAGAGCTTGGTGGCCACTAGGGGAGGCTAAAAAGATCATGGACACAATCCCTGAGAATCAACCTCCCAGGCACAGAGCAGATGGAGAGGGGCGTGGAACTGTAAGGGAGATGAGGAATATCCAGGAAATAATCCATCATTCTTGCTTTCTTTGGTCTTGTCTTATATAACAGATGTTGCCTTTTTTTCTGAACATAAAAATACTATATTTTTATTGTAGAACATTTGGAAAACTGCACTGTAACTTGCAATCCTTCTTTTCCCTAGCCAGGACATGTTCCTGGTTGAAGGCACATGAATTTATCCAGTAAGTTCTCACATTAAAAAAAAAATCCATAAAATATAAAATTTATTTCTGTGGCTAAGACCTCAAAGAATATTCTTGACAAAAAGATGTACTGATATTCCCCTGGAACATTTTGTTTTCCTRCCTGCCTGTGCTTACTTACCATGGTGTCTTCTTCTATGCATTACACTCTTGGCATATTAAATTCCTTCCTATATTTTTGAATACTAGATTGTTCTACAATATCTCCACTAAACACATTCTACTCATTATTTTTTAAAAAATATTTATTTTTTAGTTGTAGTTGGACACCATACCTTTATTTCACCTATTTATTTTTATGTGGTGCTGAGGATCAAATCCAGGGTCTCACACGTGCGAGGCGAGCGCTCTACCGCTGAGCCACAACCCCAGCCCCATTCTACTCATTATTTAATAACAAAAAGAAAACCTCCTTCAACCTTTATGTAATTTCCATTGTTATCATTAATAGTTTTTTCTATGCCTACATTTTTATAGAGGTATAGTCATTGTGTCTGTATAGTTCTAGATCCTGCATGTAGAACTAAAATTGAATCTTATTTGTTTTATTTTTTTTTTAGCTTAGCAGCATAACTCCTGCCCCTGGCTTTAGGTAAGCCCTTAAGAGGCCCTTGAGATTGAATAAAACTCAATGATAAAATATCTGCTACTTGTCTACTTCTGTGAGGTTTTAAGCAACCTTAGAGGAAAAGCTTTAAAATTCTGCCTGCTACTATTTGGTCAGCTTTAAAAGAGCACAGCATTTGTGATGGTCCCCTGATGTATGTGGAGGAGTTTCCTTTCCTTGACGCGTGGGATCAAACACCTGAAGAGACTAGATTTTACTCATTTATTCTCTATCCCTCGAACACTCACAAAAGCAATGGCACCCCACCCCCACCCCACACTCTTTTGTCAGTTTCACTGCCAATTCCTGCATAATATAGTCAAATTATGTGTTAGAAATTCAACCCTGGTTTCCTGGGTGATGGTACAATACGACTACTTAGTATTCCTAGTCACACAGCTATGACTCCATCATGYTCCTAATCTATATATATCTTCATGTTAGGGAAGCAGACTTTTCCAATCAGGCACATACGAAGAATTTGAACGTACCGAGTAAGAAATATATAGGAGTTCCTGAGCTCAGCAACAATACAGGACATTTTTGATACCAAGATCTTGTGAAACCAAACCACCGTATGGACGAATACTTCCAGGACTTGTTAATTTTTATAGTACATCCATTTCCAGTTAAATTTTGCAAACTCAGAATTCTTTGTGTTCTGTTGTCATCGGTTATATGACTAGACTTTAAATTTGGCCTTGTTTAGCCTGAGTCTTCAGAAACCCAAGGCAAGTTTTTATTCTGAAGTTGGCAGAATCAGGGTGAAACGTTAAATTTGGGTAATGTCATGGAGGTTCTCTGTTTGTTCCRGTGATCTACACAAAACAGATGCCAGGAACTTCAAGATCTCTACCTCAAAAGTGCCCGATTGACGATTTAAACCAGGAGACTCAGGCTCTTTGTAAAGATTGGTTGTGAAAGTTCTCTGTGATGAATACTTTCTGTGTATTTACACATGTGAGAGGTTTAAACCAGTAATCAAACTTGAGATTGTTATTTTTCTCTCATGTGCATTTGTATTGCTGAACTTTTTTTTTCTTTCCTTTTTTTCTTTAGACAGTGTCAAGGAGTCCCATTCTTTAAATTCTAAATCTGACATGTTTTATCTGTGTTACTTCAGCCAAATAATCTTTCTGACCCTCTGTTGTCTCATTTCAAAAAAATGAAAATAATCTTGCAGATGTCTTGTGAATCAAATGAGATAATTTATGAGAAGGGTACTTTGTAAACTACAAAACTTCACATCAAATGCCTATTATCTACATATTGTTCATGATCATCGATCATTTGGGAGCCTAATACTTATCTACTCTTCTCTTTTCACAAATGTCTTGGTTTTTAGTAGTTTTTTAATCTTCCTCAGCATGTCGTACTTAATTGGCTTGGTAAATTGTGATATTTCTTTCTTACTCATGCACATCATACACATTCAAGTGTCAGTTTAGAGAATATGTCAYGTATTTTGTTTGACTAAGGATAAAGAGCTGTACTTTTTGTGTGTGTGTTTTCTCCTATAGGTCATAACAGTTATCAGCCAAGCTGCACCAAACAGCAGACATCCTAAGAGGGAACATTTCTCAGCTCTATAATGAAGAAAAGCAGGAGTGTGATGACGGTGACGGCGGATGATGTAAGTAGCAGAGGGTGTAGCTGTCGCACGCCTCCCACACTTGGTCTGTTCAGTGAAGAAATCACTCTATAATTCCATTCAAAGGCAGACAAGAGTGTTCAACGCCACCATTCTGTGACCAGAGGTTTTGATGAAGTGGGCATTGCCAGCACTGGACCCAGCATTCTAAGAGGTGGACAGCAGGAACCATTCCTTCTCTGCAGTTTGCAGATGGGCTGTTCCAGCTTTGGGTTTTCACTGCACARTCACCCACCACTGATCTATGTTCACATCCTAACCCCTGGTTAATTCCTCTTTCCAGCTTCTTGTGTTATCCATTTTTCAAGGACTTTCTTCCATACTGGTAACCATGGACCGCTAACCCTTAAAAGTCACTCCCTGTGGTAGGGTCTTGGGCACCTACTCCTAAGAAGTTTGTGATACACACATCTTCTAGGCTTTTGCTGTGAATGTCCTTAGACCAGCAGCTTTAGCCTCACCTGGGTGTTCACTGGAAATGCAGACTTCAGCCCCTACCTCAGATCTACCAGCCAATTGGTGTTCTTGACAGGATCCCAGTGTGAGTGGGCAGGTACATCATGTTTGAGATGCTCTAATCTGAGCCATTTGAAGATGCCCATAAACTCGCCATCCTCATGATTTTGGATTTGGGTCAGTTGAGGTTAATTATTTCCTTGCTTTCAACAGACCAGTCAATCCATCATTAGTGTATCATCTATTTTTTACCTAGTTATTCTTTGAGATAAAAATTAAATGCCAATTCATCAGATGTGCACAAGAAAAGAAGGTAGGGAAGGAAGGAAAAGCAGTGATTTTTCTTTGCTTTCTTTCATAGCTCATCTTATTGCTAAGCTCCTGTGTCACAAATGGGGGTAGGGGCTGGGAGGGACTTGAACTTGCCAATTAGTGGTCTTTCAGTCTTTCAGTTCTTGTTCTTTTTCTTTAATTAGGGGGCATGTTGTCAAATGGAAAGCTAACATTCAATTAGGCTCTAGCAGAAGGGGTAGAGTGTTGTCCTCATCTTGTGTTGTCCCTTTCTACTAACCCCTGCTGTTGTCCACGTGTGAGATGGCTCATTCACCCAGGTCTTTGGTTTGCAATCTCTGCCTTGGTCAAGCATTGCTTGGGGGGTGGGGTGGTATATATAGCAGGGCATAATTGTCCTCCGTGTGAGCCCTGCACCTTTCTCAGTTCACTGAAAGTCTCACTTCCTGGGCCCTTCACCTAATCTCTCTGTGGAACTCTGTTCATTTAAGAGACAGCTCAACTTACTGTCCAACCCTTATCTTTGGGTGCTCACTCCCTGGATTCCGTGGTTCTTTCACCTTATGATGTAGCCTACACTTGGAAGACATGTTGGGACTGATTCTCAGGTTCCTTCTGTGACCCTAGGGGCTTATGGGAACTTCAAGGACTCTCAGGTGCAGGGGGAGACACAGGCATGCTCTTTACGGTAATGTCTCCCCAAAACATGCCTTTGCCATTGCCATTTCTCCTCCTCTGTGTTAAGAGACCTAGTTAACCAATTCTGTCCTCACCCGTGACAATATTTCCTTTCTTCTTTTCTTCTTTCCTGGCTCCTGGACCAAAAGGGAATTTCCCTTCTTATATTCTAATTTTTCAGTACTGATGGGAAAAAAAAAACCCTGCCTTATGATAATCTATTCTCTGCTTCGGATATCTACAGGGAAACATTTAGAATTCAGAAATTGTTTTTCTTCTTGAAAAATGAGAAAGAGAAAAAAACCTTGGGATTATCCCTTACTTATTACTATGTATTTATGGTGTGCACAAAACTCTGTTTTTTAGAATATTAAAATTGAGAAATGTTCATAAAAGATGGACAACCCATGTTTTCCTTTCTCATTGTAAATGTATAGAAATAATGCTGACCTTCCCTGAGAGTTTGGTTGCCACAATCAAAAGAGGAGGAAAATGGCTTGCCAGAATATGCAAAAACGAAACAAAGCAAAACAAACAACAAATTGGGTGTGGTGGCCCATGTCTGTAATCCCAGTGATTCAGGAGGCTGAGGCAGAAGGATCACAAGTTCAAAGCCAGTCTCAGCACATTATTGAGGCCCTAAGCAACTTTATGAAACCCTAACTCAAAATAAAAAATAAACAGGGCTGGGGATATAACTCAGTGGCTTAGCACCCCCAGAGTCAAGCCCTGATTACAGCCCCCCCCCCAAAAAAAAAGAAAAAGCAGAAAAAGAAAACCACAGTTAACAATTAACTTCACCACAACCAGAACAGATAAATATCACATAGATTTATCCTGTCCAATATGGTAACTATAGCTACTTGGGTCTATTAAACACTGATTTGAATGGAAATGTGTTATATTCATAAAATATTTTGGATTTTTGAATATATATACAAATATTAAAGATGCACAATATTTCATTAATAGTTCTTAATATTGATTGCATGTTGGAATGATAGTATTTTAAACATATTAGACTAATATATTATGAAAACRAATTCACTTATTTCTTTTTACTTTTTAATGTGGTTACTAGAAAAATTTAAATGACACATTAGGACAGTACCAACCTAGAACTTTTCACTGTGTAGCTCAGCCTTATTGAATGTCCCACAAAACAACATCGATTTAGCAGAATATATTTTATATGTCACACGTTAAATAATTTTTTTACCCTTAATCAAGGATATCTTATTATACTTGCATTATTTGAACTCAGAAAAATTTTATTCAGTTATTTAAACATAAACCTAATATTAATTTAGCATCTATTGTGAGTCAAATATGGTTCTAAGTTCTAGAGATTCATCAAGCATTAGCATAAAGTTCCTGTCTCCATGATCCATAGGGAAAAACAAAAATAAATTAGCAGCTTAAGAAATAATCCTGTCTATGAAAAAGGCTATATAGAAAATGAAGTTGGTCAGGGGTACAAAGAATGATTGGATAGTGAGACTACAGTCTTTATGAAAGGACAGTGTGAGGAGATAGCATGTGGGCAGGATGACTCACAAGCAGAGAGAAGTGAGCCCTCTGATGCTCTGGGGAAGGAAACAGTGTGGCAAAGCCCTTTCTGCATTCAGGACACCGTGATTGGGTCTGTAGGAATACAGAGAAGAACCTTCAGGCTCTGTATTCTTGTAGTATATAAATAATAGGAGACTCAGTGTGAGGAATGTCACAGGAACAGCACACATTCAAAGCTTTGCATTTGTGAACTAAGTTCTAGAAGTAAGAGGTAAATTAAGTGCAAACACAAGAATTCATCGTGATAAAAGGCATAATAATATTGCTTAGAGGATAGGAAGATGAAGATTTGGAGAGGAGTTGAAAAGTGGAAAATGAGTAAGACTAGGAGGGAAGAATCAGGAGATATGCATATAAGTGAGAGAGCGGGAGAGGAGTGTGTATGTGTGTTTGTGTGTACACACATAATGTGCCATAAATATGTATGTGTGTGTATATATATATATATATATATATATATATATATATATACAACACATATACATATGTAATGCTATAGATATTTATATATACCTAGATTACACATGTAATATATGTGTATGTGTATGTGTCTATGTGTAGTATTATAACCAAGACATATATCCATATCCACAACTCAGTCATAGTTTTGCTTTTCTAATCATTGATGTTAGGAGATTGTTTCAAAAGAAGGAAATGTAATCAGTAAGAGAGCGATAAAAATTACCTTCAGACAAACTTCTTTGTAATTGATGAAGACACCAAATTTTTCAAAGACAAAATTACTTTTATTATTGTCTCATGGAGCATTACAGCATTTACCCTCAGTAGGAAGCCTGAATGTCCCTTTAATGTGTCCCAAAATTTCTGTCTCTAATTTCATAAGGTTTGAGAAATTTGGCTCATGGTTCCAATGGAAAGTGCACCAAAGCATGTTACAAGTCCTTGGAAAAATTTCTTATCCAGTTTTCTAACAATGAATTTATTTATTTATTTTTATTGATTTTTTTTTAGTTATACATGATAGTAGAATCTATTTTGATAAAATTATACATGCACAGATTCTATCTTATTGTAATTAGGATTCCATTCTTATGGACATACACGATGGTAGGATTCACTTAGGTTTTTTTCATGTATCTACATAGGAAAATCATGTCAGATTCATTCCACTTTCTTTCTATTCCTATCCCCTTCCCTTCCCTTCATTTCTCTTTGTCTAATCTACTACAGTTCTTTTCTCTCTCTACCCCTTTTATTGTGGCTCAGCTTCCACATATCAACAAAAACATTTGACCTTTAGTTTTTTTGGGATTGGCTTATTTCACTTAGCATGATAGTCTCCAGATACATCCATTTATTAACATAAAGTCATTCTTCTTTTTTGGCTGAGTAATATTCCATTGTGTGTRTGTGTGCATGTGTATGTATGTATGTATATATATCTCACAATTTCTTTATCCATTCATCTGTTGAAAGGCACCTAGATTAGCTCCACAGCTTAGCTATTGTGAATGTGCTGCTATAAACATCAATGTGGTTGTGTCACTGTAGCATGCTGATTTTAAATCCTTTAGATATATGTAAAGGAATGGGATRACCGAGTCAAATGATTGCTTCATTCCTAGTTTTCTGAGGCATCTTCATCCTGCTTTCCAGATTCTAACCTGAATTTAACTGGAAGAATTAAAAAAAAAATAAGAACACTAAAAAAATGATTGAAATTGACAAAGTAAAAGAAAATCAAAGCATTTAGGGTCTTGACTCTCTGGATATTTCAAGTGTTGACTGGATTTTGATATGAGGATGAGACAGAGATAAAACCCCCATGGTATTCCCTGCCTTCCTTCCTGCATACTTACCCTAATTAAGTGCAGGATTTCACATGAGTTTTCCCTTTGTGGTAACTATTTGGAATTGCATTGATAAGAATACTGATTTTTAAACAGACAAGTATTTTAGAAACATGTATAATCTCAAACTAGGTTGTTTCTTTAGGGATTATCTAGACATAAAGTAAATTTTTGAAAGTATGATGCATTTTAAAAGTTGTGATTTCCAGAAATGACATTCAAGTTCATGTTCCTTTCCCCMAAATATTTGATCTGATGAGAGGCATAGCATCAGTCAGAATCATGGTGCTTAAATTAGGAAAATAAGACCAAGACCACAAATTCAGCAACTGAGAAATGACTGAATTAGAGTTTTTCTTTGAGGTTGTTAATAATTTGAGGAGAATACTATATAAATTATGAGTATGAATTWTAGGGTTTAAGATAATTATGAATGGCTCTGCATGGATTAATGAGTGTTTTTAAAACAATGTTAATGATTTCATATTTCAATTAGTGTCTGAAAAACTATTCCTTTATGTTCTTCTTTTGTGGAAATGTATTTGCACATTAATTGGGGTTTTCCAAAACAAATCCTTTTAACTCAAAAGAATAACTTCAAATCTGTAAATTCAATCTCATTGGCAAGTTAGTGTGGAAAATATTTTGTGGTATATGTGACTCYGTTACTTTTCAAATAAAAAGTATTAAATAAGGACATTTAGTTTATTTACTGCAATTAAACCTGACTGGTATTGTTTGGTTTTTGTGAAGGGAAAAAAAAATACCCAGCAAGTAAACCAGGCCCTGGTTTAGCTAAGTTATATCATTATTTCTGTTCTTTGGTATATTTCTTAAAGAAATATTTCTTGAAGAAGAGATAAACAGTATAGTTGAGTCTGCTTTCTGGACAGCTAAAACTTTTTTTTAATCTGCATATTTGGAACTATGTTGATACTTAAAGTTATGATTACTGGCCTTTAGTTTGTTTTTAAATCTCTTCAGGAATATTTTGTATATTTTGTCCCCTGAACTAGTTTATCATTTTTATTTTTGGTACCACCAATTGAGTCCAGGAGTTCTTAACTGCTGAGCCACATCCCCAGCCCATTTTTATTTATTTATTTATTTTTATTTTGAGACAGGATCTCATTAAGTTGCTTAGGACTTTGCTAAGTTGCTGAGGCTGGCCTTGAACTTATGATCCTCCTGCCTTGGCCTTTAGAGTTGCTAGAATTACAGGCTTGTGCCACTGCACCCTAAGAATGAAACTTGTTGTCACAGTGGTACACACCTATGATCCCAGCAACTCCAGAGGCTGAGGTAGGAGGAAAGCAAGTTCAAGGCCAGCCTGGGCAAATTTAGTGAGACCCTGTCTCAAAATGAAAAATAGAAAAGGCTAGGGATGTGGCTTGGTGGCAGATCACCCCTTGGTTTCAACCCCAGTATTGCCAATACCATGGAAAAACAAATGAAACTTATATGCTAACCATCCCCTTCAGTCTCTAATTTTTAATGCACACACTGACATGCAGCATATGCTAGTAGAMCTATAGTAGATTTATTATAATGATGAGTTACTAACCAGTAAACCTGATGCATTCCTGGATGTTTCAAACTCTCAAATTCTGGATTGTTTTTTCTTCTTCTTGTTATCAATTTGTGACTCTACTGAATTTCAGACAAATGACATGTCAAAACTATAAGTCAAGAAGAAAATATGATAATATCCCATTTCCAGGCAGGGAGCGTGAGGCTTGTAAAAATTATCAAGCCTCTTCTGGTCCAGATTTCTGCCATGGAAATAGAGTCTTGTATAGATCAGTTAAATGAATGTAGGTTGGGCTGAGGAGAGATACGATGTTTCTTCTTGCTAGTTCTGTTCTAAAGTAGCACAGGGTGTGCCTGTAATAGAAGTGCATCAGATATTTGTTGAGTGAACTCAGACCTTCAAACTTGAGTTAATGATTCCTGTAYGAACTAGCATTGGGCCAATTGGGTAGAGGACAGGGCAGTAGAGGATTTTGTTCGTTTAATCTCTAGGGGGTCAAGTCTCAGATCCTTCTGTCTAGTCTGACAGATTGGTAGGAAGTGCTTGTGTTCTTAGGATGACTTTCAGTTAAGCAACTTTGACCTGATGCTTCCATTGTTCTCTGTTAAGATGAGTGTGGAGAGTGAAATGATTGCTCTGATATTTCCTCTTGCTCTCAGCTGCCACTGCAGTGCTGCAGCATTTTCTGCCATTGAGCTGATATAAATGGTTCAACAGGCAGAGGATCGCTTGGGAATCCCACTCCCAACAGCACCAGGAACCATAGTCACCAAGACATATGGGAAGGATGAATAACTCTTATCATGGTTTAACACTGTGCTTTTGTCCTCTCACAAGGATTCGATTTATATCAGCTTTAGGGCATGCACTTGAGCAAGGCAGTTCAGGACTAGATCTCAGCCTTTATATGATTTGACCAAAACAAAATAGAACAAAACAGAAAATCATCAATCATAAGATTAAAAAAAAAATAGGAACAGACATAGTCAGTTGTTCCTGATTTTCAATACCCTACTATCTTAAGATAGAAAATATTTTTACTTTAAAACATTGAAGAAGGAACTCCATATTTTATTAAAGTTTGCTCCCATATGGCAAAATGATAACATGGATTTGCAAAATGTATTTTGAATCTAGCAAATTTCATGTTAGTACATTTAAAAAACAAAGAAAAAAAAGGAAAAATAAAAAGAGAAAGAAAAGAAGCAGMACTCTAATCCATGTGCTCTTCAGGGAGAATATTATGTACCTACAAATCTCCAGGAATGTGCAACTAATAGGTTTGTTCACAAAGCTGAGACTCAGTTACCCCTCCCCTTTTGTGGTCTCTTTAGCATTTGACATCAATGTTAGATTTCGATTGTGAGACCATGAATTGAGACTTCGTGACAGCTTGACCATTTCGTTTCTTGTTTCACTCTACCCTGATATACATTTGAATTTTATTCTCTTTTTCTTCTTTTTTCTTTCCCTGTGGTTCCTCCAGAATGTTAAAGATTATTTTGAATGTAGCTTGAGTAAATCCTACAGTTCTTCCAGTAACACACTTGGGATCGACCTCTGGAGAGGGAGAAGGTGTTGCTCAGGAAACTTACAGTTACCACCATTGTCCCAAAGACAGAGTGAACGGGCCAGGACCCCCGAGGGAGATGGCATTTCCAGGCCRACCACGCTACCGTTGATGACACTTCCAAGCATTGCTATAACAACTGTAAGCCAGGAGTGGTGAGTAGCCCTAGGTATTTTGAATACCATCCCAGATGGTGCATGTTAAATGTCAATTCTGAATTTTACTTTCCACTTACTCTAAATACAGTTTCATGTTATTAAAATGTTAGTTATCTGTGGAATAACTAAGACTATTGACATTTTGAGAGTTTGTTTCCTTTTGAGTATCAAGAGGAGGCATTTTAAACAGAAGTGATATTTTTCTACTTACTAAGATGGGAAGGATCATATTTTATATGGAACCCGCTGGGGAGGGAGTGAGATGCATTCACATTAATGTCAAAGGAAAGAAAAATGCTGTGCTCTGAGTTTTTTTCAAAAAGTACTGTTCAGTGAGCATCGATACTTTTAGATTTAGAAGAAGAAAATTATATCAGTGTATTTCATGGGAGATATATACATATATATTATATATATGATATGTGTATTTCCATTGCTATACTCCACACATATCCCTCACTTCTTTTTAAATATAATTCCACCTAGCAAACTGCAGTTATTACTGCTATAAAATAAAACACTTCTTTGTAAATCAAAAGAGGAATGGAAATCATGCTATGAGAGATGATCAGACTATTAACAGTCTATATCTGTGAAAGAGGCTATTTTTAACTAGTGTTAAAATGTTAATCAAGAACATAAACTCTTATAACGGTGGTTAAAATGTGACTACTTTTAACTTGACACTTCAAATATGTGCCTCAGCATGTATTTTTTTTAGTAGTTTCTCCTTTATTATTTTCTTTCTCTCTACATAATTTACAAATATTTCCCAAGAATGGCTTGCCTTTATAATATAGCAATTTATCACTAAAACAAAAAAAAATAATTTCTCGATGATGTCTGTAACTTTAAATTATAATGTGGTACTTTCAAAATCACTCTTGGTTTAGATGATTTATTATAAAGGAGAGGGACTAAACATTTAATTATTCACAAATTCATTCTGTAAGTCCTGACAATGTGTGACTTTTACGGTGTATTGTGTACCTTGCTGCATGCTGAGTTCTACAGTGCTCATGTGTGGCCCCATGTGTGTGCTCTTTGAACGCCACAGGACCTCCCTTAGTCCGTGTTTATTTATTCTACCAAGAAATAGATCACTGAAACTCCAGACACCACAGTTACCAGCGTGAAAGAGTTCATCAGACAATTGGAGAAGCATGCTAAGCCACTGCAGGGAAAGTGGGTTACAACTTTGAGAAGTGCTGCCTTCTATCTTCTGCTTGACTGAATTAACATTAAAACAGTAAGAGCTCAAAAACTAAAGTGGGCATATCGCTCCCATAGAGCTTACTTAGGCAAATAGCTCACACGATGAATCATGGTCATGCTGTGCATAATTGTGAATTTTGGAGTCTTAAAGGCTTCCAGATTTATTTTTCAGCAAGTTGGCACTGGTACAGTTTTACCAATTGTTAAAATATTAAAGTACTGCTTATATACCAGTTGATGAAGATATGCTTGCCTTGGCTCTTTGATTGCCCCTGCCACAGAGACTCTTCCCCCAAAGCCCCTAGAGTTCCCCATAATCCAACAATAACTAGGTGATTACCAACAAGTGGGAGTTTATTTTGGTGAGTGTTGGTGCTATAGCAGCAGTTCTTAGGTATCGTGAATACCATCCCAGATGAAGTATACCTTTTAAAGTTTGAGTTGATTTAACTCAAGGGCATTTTAGGATTTGTGGAATTGTCTCTTAGAAATATCAAATCTAGACCTTGATGTTTGGGGCATGCTTGTTTATTTTTCTAAGTGGAATGTTTTTATTTGTACAAAGAGGATGACAATGATCACATTTTATGGTATGGAAAGGATTAAATAATCTAATTATTTTAGTAAAAAACATATATTAGGTAACCAGCACAGATTACTTTCCCTCTTCTTGATTCAGTACTCAATAAAGCCTTTCAAAAGTACTGATACCTCATTCTCAGATATCAGTAGTTTCATGCTGGATGTTAGTAGTTTACGGCAAAATGGAGGAGTTAGCCATTGTCCAGAGAGTTTATATTGTATAATAAGCTACCACCATRTTTATTTTAATCAACTATATACTTGTGAAAGCATGACAGTGTCCAGTCATTAGGTCTAAATTCACTTTAAAACTAAAAGCTTTGCTATACCTCCCTTGAAAATGCTTCTATTAGAGTCTTKGTGGTTGGAGACAGCCAGAATGGCTGGCAGGGGAATCTGATTCAAGATCATCTAGTGAGAAGTGAGTAGGGTTCCAGCTATCATTGCTGCCATCAACTTGGTGAATGATTATGGAGGTGAGGAAGACAGCCTAGGGCCAGTGTGAGAAAGAATTACACTAACCTCTCAGAGCCCTGAGAATAGGGGACCAGTCCCTACATCTAGACCAGAAGTCAGCAAATGTTTCCTGTAAAGTGATAAACAGTAAATATCTTCAGTTTTGTGAACTTTAAGTTCTGTGATGTTGATTCAACACTGCTCTTGAATTGTGAAAGTAGCTATAGGTAACGTATAAATGAGTAAGTAGCTGTGTTCCAATAAAACTTTGTTTAAAAAAATGGACTGTGGGCTGAATTTGGCTCATCAGTCAGAATTTTTTTGACCCCTGTTCTAGACTACTAAAGATACTGAGAACAKGACTCCCGTTTTGTAATTGCTTTGATAGTTACCAAGGGCAGAGACTGACCTTGAGTTCCTAGATGGTGTGCCAAATTAGTCATCAGTATGGGATTTTGTGCACTAGGTCAAGCCACCAAAGCCAGCGAAAAGAATTAGATTGAGTACAAATGAAAACTATTCCCTTATTGTACATAAAGTTAAATATAAAACCTTACCATAAACATAATGCTTCCTCAGGAGATGATATTAATGATGGGAGCTGCATCACTGCAGATGAAATGCCTGGAATAGAAGGATAGCACTTTAACTGATCACAAGAGCAAGAAAGAGTTAGAAATGAGCTGAGTCCAGTTTTATGGGGTGATTTCTGTCCTGTTTCCTTGTTTCCTCTCCCTCAATGACTCCAAAGTGAACCAACCACAGGGGTGATGATACCTACTTTTCAGCTTTGTCGTGATAAATAAACATTTGTGGTGAGTGTAGCACAGTAACTGGTGACCAAGGCTATTTTGTTGTTGTTATCATTGTCATATTACTGTTATATTCAGATGGAATAGCTAGAGTTATGTATTTTCCATTATTGGTGGTTCTTAAGGAACTTAACCACCTGAGTTCTTGAAATCAATTTGGAAATAAGGTGAGAGAGGAAGTTAGATATGAGGACAAGTTGTTACCTTTATTGCCGATCAAGTTGACATGGGAATATGTAATTTATATCTATGGGCAAGTAGTTTCCTAACATTGAACACCACAATTACACTGACCTACTAGTTGGGAATAGAGGGTTCCTGGTCAGAGCAGGCGCCCCTCCACCCTCTACACACACACACACACACACACACACACACACACACACACAGAGAAAACCTAACCTATACAACTTGCAACATGAAGGATCTGTAGAAATCCTGATCATGTGAGAAAGTCAGCTAGGTCGTGTATGGCCACTTTCTCCTTCTGGAAGCATCAACAAAAATTAAAAATTCCTCCTCTCTGGGGAAGAATGAGGAAAGAAGAATAAAGAGGCTAGAAATATTAGGCTGGTGGCATTCCCAAACCTTGAGAGGGACATCCAAAGCTAGTAGGAATGTTCTTTCTTAACCTTACCCAATTGATTTTGTTCAATCTTTTCACCTTAAGTCTAATGCAACAGGAGGGGGGGGACAGCAGTTCTTTTTTTTTTTGGTACCAGGGATTGAATTTAGGGGTACTTGACCACTGAGCCACATCCCCAGCCCTATTTTATATTTTATGTGGAGACAGGGTCWCACTGAGTTGCTTACGGCCTCCCTAAATTGCTGAGGCTGTCTTTGAACTTGTGATCCTCCTGCCTCTGGCTCCCTCGCAGCTGGGATTACAGGTATGGGACAGCAGTTCTGTAGGGGGATGTCAGCAATATACCCAGGCAATTTTACAAAATCTTTGTGTAGCTGTTCTCACAAAACTACCCACAGGAAAACCTGAAATCAAAGTTTCTTGTCCTACTTTGTAAGTTAAAAGTCCAAAGAAATTAAAGCCTCAAATTCATCCTCCCTATCTTCTTAAGTCTTCTTACTTTGTCAGTGGGCTCATAAGGCTTGGCGTGAAGTGGGGTTTCCTCTCCAGCCGCAGCCTCAGCATCATCAGAGGGAAGGCTCTAGTTCCTTCGGTCACACAGAAGTCATGTTAGTGCAATGCCAGGTCTCCTGACAGGCTTCACTTTTTGAACAATTTAAGGAATTTATTGATCAGCAAATTTACCAAAGCAACATCCCATAACTGAACATAGGAAATAAGTCAACTCTGAACCTTGAAAGTCTACAGTTAATCTATCACTTTAACCTTTCTCCATGAGGATCTCAGAACATTCCAACTCCTTCTAGTTCTTCCCTGCTTACACTTTTCCTGTATGTTAATTATTTCTATACTTACCCATAGAWCATTAGCATTGATTTCACATTCAGTTTTTATTAGGATTTTCCCAGATACTTACAGATATCTTTGTTTTAAATTCTTTCTAAGGATCATATGAAAAGCACAAGACCTAGAATAGGCAACATAATAGGAAGAAAAAGAAGGAAGAGGAGAGGGAGAATAAAGAAGATGARATATAGGAGGGGAGGGGAGGAGACTGACAACACAAGTTGGAAGGACTCAGGTACCTAATTTCAAGACTTCCCCTAAAAGTATTGTTTTAGTCAGCTTTTTCTCTGCTGTGACCAAAAGACCTGGCAAGAACAATTTTGGAGGAGGAAGAGTTTACTTGGGGGTTCATGGTTTCAGAGGTCCCAGTCCAAAGACAGATGGCTCCATTGCTCTGGGCTCGAGGTGAGGCTGGACACCATGGTGGAAGAATGTGGTGGMGAAAAGCAGCTCAGGACATGGTACTAATAAGCAGAGAGAGACTGCTGTGCTCAACAAGG